CACAATAACTTTAGATCCTAACAAATAGGTTCTAAATTTATCAAAAGCATATATAACAGCTAGTAATTCTTTCTCAGTAGTAGTAAGTAATAATAGGTGCGGTAGACAATTTTTCTTTCAAAAGATTAAAAGAAATCAAACAATCATTGTCAAAGTTGAACTCTTCTTCTTTGGCCAATAATTTGCAGAGGGGTTTGGCTATCTTTGAGAAATCTCTGATGAAACGCCGATAGAAACCTGCATGTCCAAGAAAACTACGCACACCACGCATATTAGAGGGAGGGGGAAGTTTTTCTATACGTGAAATTTTTGCTCTATCAACTTCAATTCCCTTCTCAGAGATCTTATGGCCTAAGACTATTCAATCTCTTACCATAAAGTGGCATTTTTCCCAGTTGATTACTAAATTACTCTCTTGGCATCTCTGCAAAACACAAGCTAAGTTAGTGAGGCAACTATCAAAAGATGAATCGAAGACAGAAAAATCATCCATAAATATTTCAATAAAATTTTCAATCATATCAGAGAATATGGATAGCATACACCTTTGAAAAGTGGCGGGTGCATTGCATAACCCGAAAGGCATACGTCTGTAGGCAGACACACCGTAGGGACAGGTGAATGCTGTCTTCTCTTGATCTTCTGGAGCAACCGCTATTTGATTGTATCCGGAATAGCCGTCAAGGAAACAATAAAATGAATGTCCTGCTAGCCTCTCCAACATTTGATCTAAGAATGGTAGAGGGAAATGATCTTTTCTCGTAGCGGCATTAAGTCTCTTGTAGTCGACGCACATTCTCCAGCCGGTAATAGTTCTTGTAGGAATCAACTCATTGTTTTCATTACGTACCACTGTGATCCCACCTTTCTTTGGAACTGTTTGTACCGGATTCACCCATGCACTATCAGAGATTGGATAGATCATACCAGCATCCAAGAGCTTCACGACTTCTTTTCTCACAACTTCTTTTCTCACAACTTCTTTCATAGTTAGATTCAATCTTCTCTGTGGTTGTCTCACTGGTTTTACATCATTCTCCATCAATATTTTATGAGTGAAAAAAGATGGGTTTATTCTTTTCAAGTCTGTAATAGACCATCATATAGCTGTTTTGTGCTCTCTCAACACTTTCAATAATTTTTCTTCTTCGGCGGTTGACAAATTTATGTTGATGATCACCGGGTATGTCTTGCTTTCTCCAAGAAATGCATATTTCAAAGTAGGAGGAATCTCTTTCAATTCAACCTTTGGTGCTCCTTGAATAATATCATCAACTTTCTTTTCTAGCTTTTCAACCTCTTGTTCTCCTTCTGTTGCTTCAGTTGTATTGTGCAGTAGATCTCCTTCTAATGACTCCAATTCCATCAGTGGTTGGAGTATTTCAACAACTGTATCTAGCACTGCATCATTGATCACATCAACCTTGAAGCAATCTCCTCCGTCGGAAGGATGTTTCATAGATTCAAAAACATCTATCGTTATGGTTTCATTATTAACCCGCAACATCAGCTTACCCTGCTCCACATCAATCATAGCCCTTGCAGTGGCTAAAAAGGGTCTTCCCAACAGTAAGGGAATTTCAGCATCCTCTTGCATGTCTAAGATAACAAAGTCTGCAGGGAATATGAACTTATCAATCTTCACCAAGACATCTTCAATTACTCCATCTGGCCTTCTGGTAGATCTGTCAACTAACTGTAGCGAAACTTTAGTCGGCTTCAATTCATGAATACCCAGAGCCTTGCAGATGGATAACGACATAAGATTAATACTAGCTCCCAAGTCGCATATTGCCTTTCCCACATTAATGTTACCAATTTCTATGGGAATGCTGAAACTTCCAGGATCTTGGAGTTTCGGAGGTAACTTTTTCTGAATTATAGCACTGCACTCTTCTGTCAAGGTCACGGTCTCACACTCCTTCAATTTACGCTTTCTTGATAGAAGATCTTTCATAAACTTTGCGTAATTTGGCATGTTCTCCAAGGCTTCAGCAAATGGAATATTGATTTGTAGCTTTTTGAAGATGTCAAGGAACTTCGAATACTGCTGCTTTTTGATTTCTTCTCTGAACCTCTGCGGATATGGAATTTTTGCATATGGTGAGAGCTCCAATGGCTTTTCTTGTCTTTCTTGGGCTTTCTTTTTCTCCTATTTGAACTCTTTCTTTTCAGGAACAGCTTTCTCTGCAGCAGGCTCTTTGTCAACTTATTTCTCTTTTTCTTCTTCAATGGCAGGTCCCTCAGCTTTCTTTTTCTCTACTGAAGGCTTAATCACAAGTTCAATTACAATGCCACTTCTAGTGGTGATTGCCTTGCAGTGTGCGTTTGGATTAACGTCTGTATTACTCGGGAAGGTGCCTTGGGTTCTTTCGTTGAACTGCCTTGACAATTGACCAATCTGGGTTTCAAGATTCCGGATAGAGGCTTCTTGATTCCGGAATGAGGCCTTGGTCTCTTGCATAAAGGTTGAAGTGTCTTCCCTGAACGCATTGGTACTTTGAACGTAGTCTGATGTGGTCTTGGATAGTTTTGCAAAGGCCTTCTCCCACTCTGATTGTTGTGGAGGTTGCTGTGGTTCTGGCATAGGAGGATTTAGCTGATGATTCGAACTATAACTGAATCCTGGGTGTTGATTTTGATTTTTATTTCTCCACCCTTGATTCTGGTTATTGCCGTATTGGTTCCTCCCTGGATTATATGGAACTTTCTGATCATGCCAAATTCCATTAACATCTGCAGTTTCGGGTGCCTTGCAGTCATCAGTAGCATGAGCACCTGCACAAATATCACAAGCAATAGAAGAAGTATTAACAGAAGCTACTGGAGTATTAACAAAAGAAACTTGAAAATCAGAAAATTGCTTTGTGAGAGCATCTAGTTGTTGTTGTTGTTTCTTATTAGACTGTAGAATCTGATCATTCTGGGCCAGAATGGCATCATAGCCATCAAGCTTCATAATCCCCGCTCTTCTCTGTGGTACGGGAGCATTGTCATACTCCTGAGATGCTAGAGACTCTAGTAATTCCAAGGCTTCCTCTGGAGTTTTTGTTTTCAAAGACCCTCCTGACACAGCATTCACCAATGTTCTTGTGTTGGGCTTCATCCCTTGGAAGAAAGTTCTCGCTTGTTCCCAAGCTTCAATGCCATGTTGGGGACACTTCCTGAGTAGTCCTTTGAATCTTTTCCATGCTTCATATAGATATTCACTTTCTTTTTGTTCAAAAGAAGTGATATCCGCCTTGAGCTTTGCCATTTTCGAAGATGAGAAAAATTTGTCCAAAAATTTGGTTGCCAAGTCGTCCCAGTGGGTGATGCTTCCTTGAGGTAACGATTGCAACCATCCTCTTGCTTCGTCTTTAAGTGAACAGGGGAACAATCTGAGAAAAATAGCATCCCGAGACACCCCATTCATCTTCAAGGTATCACAATATAGCAAGAAGTTTTCCAGATGGATGTAAGGGTCTTCCGTGCTTCCTCCGGCAAATTGGTCTTTCTGAATTAATTGTAAAAGTGCCAGCTTGAGTTCAAAGTTGTTAGCATCCACGTTTGGTCTAACAATACTCGCCGTCTGTGGAACTCGAGCAGGAGTCATGTAATCTCCCAACGTTCTCGGAGGTGGTGGAGGTACATTGTTGTCTCCCATTGCTTCTTCTCTTGGTTCTGTTGAGCTTGAAGCTTCTTTCTCTTGCTGTCTTCTTTCTTTAGCAAGTTTTCTGTTTCTTTTTGCTGTTTTCTCTATCTCCGGGTCGAATTGCAAGGAATCGGTGTCAACGGTACCTCGCATAAACCAGAAAAATAGATTATATAAAATAAGAAAATAAAACTGAATTTAAATAACAGAAAATAAGGTCCAATCTAAAGAATTAATAGCTACTATTAATGTTGAAATAGTAATCCCCGGCAACGGCGCCAAAAACTTGTTGGTCTACTCACGGCAAGTGCACCGATCGTACAAGTAATATACTGATTAAGTAAGAGATCGTTCCCACGAGGATTACGGTTCAAGCATTAATTCACTATCGCAAACTTAGTTGGACAATCGAAGTTGTATTCGGTAACAGGATTTGAATTGCAAAATTAAAATATTAAATATTAAAGCTAATTACTCGCAAGAATTAAAGACAAGAAATTAAGGATTTGAATAAGTTGATAAAATAAAAACGTAGCTAGGGGTTCGATTTCATTTAATCTCCTTATTACGTTTGAATTCCTTCTTAATGTTAATTGTCCTTAGTATCAATCTAATCAATTCTTTCGCATGTTATTAGAGCTCAATCCCTTGTTACTCTAAAACCTTTACAATATTGGAAGAACCCTAGTTCCCCGGTTATTCCCCAAGCATGCAAGCATTAAGTTCAATAATCTTAAAGATTATGCAAACCCTATGTCTATCCCTAGAATCATAACGTTTACGATGAAGTTATCAGATATGGATCACACACCAACATTCCTATTGTCATGCATTCACCGATGATCATTATATAAAATTCAAGCCTATATAAAGCATTAAAAACAGATAACTTCATTCATGATATAAAGGAAAATTAACACAGCGAATTGTTCAAAACATAATAAATCGACTAAAATCCATCTAACCCTAACTACTTAAGGAACTAGCCGGACATAGCAAAATCAAGAACAAAACAAAATAGAAAAGCTCCTCCAAACTCCATAGGTGATTGGTGAATCTTCAATATCTCCAGTGAACACTTGACGTTGATCCGTCTCCGCCGCTCACGAACATGAATCTGATGTTTCTCCGCGTTCCCTCCGCCTCCAAGCACCAAGAGTTGTTTTGCAATGTGAAAGTTATGTATTTCTGGTCCCCAATGGTCCTTAAATAGGTCAAGAGTTCGTATTGCAGTAGAAAACTCGAATGGGCCTAAGTTAGATCTGACTAGGCGCTTAAGCTTGCTGTAGCGCGCTTAAGCGCCCTAGGACGGTGATCTTAGATTCGCGTTGCGCGCTTAAGCGCGATGGAGGGCGCTTAAGCGCGATCTTCCAGTCAGAACTTTCTTCTTCCAGCGCGCTTAAGCCCTGAGTTGGGGGCTTAAGCGCCCACAGGCCGAGACTCTTTGCGTATTTTGGAGGCTTAAGCTTCCTTATTGGGGCTTAAGCTTCCATTGGCAGGGGCTATTTGCTTGTCTAGGAGGCTTAAGCTTCATGATGGAGGCTTAAGCTTCCTTTCTAACAACTTCATAAGTCTCAAATCTATCTTGTTTTTTTATCTTCCTCTATCATCTCTTGATCTCATCTGTTCTAGTTGTGATCTCTATCTATCCAATCTTCATCTTTGACTCATTTTGTCAACAAATCCCTTAAAAATAGCAAAGATGATTCAATTAAACAAAATTCAGATAATGTTCATGATTATTATATTAAACCCTAGTTTTTGACTTATTAACTTGATATTTTATATTAATTTAGTCTATAAAATAAGATAAACTAAAGGTTTATCAGTCGTCAAGGTTGTCCTTCCATTAACAACAACAAGAAGGATGAACTTTCCCTGCTTTGATAGAAAGCTTGAAGCATCTTCATACTTTTTATTTCATTGTACTTCCTTTCTTTGCATACCTATACCTATAATATATATATATATATATATATATATATATATATATATATATATATATATATATATAGGGGAAGGATCTTTTGACTCTAGAGTAAGATTTACAACTCTTACTCCTCATCTCAATCATTGATTTCCGTCCATCTAACGGTTATCTATAACAATTATTTATTTATTTATTTCAAATAAATAATAACCGTTAGATGAACGGAAATCAACAGTTGAGATGAGGAGTAAGAGTTGTAAGTCTTACTCTAGAGTCAAAAGATCCCTCCCCACATATATATATATATATATACCAATAAATTTCACAGTTAGATCGATTATGTTGATCCAACGGTTATATTTATTTTCATCTTTATATGTATTATGGACCTGACAAAGGCCCATATTCTAGAAGGACCAATAAAGGACAACACAAAAGGAAGAGAATCTCCTATTGATGACGATCCTATCCAGGAAGCTAAGCAGTTGGACTTGGACCCCCAATATTCCTAAGAGGCCCAGAAGTACACTCCTTCAGGTAACCCATCTATAAACAAGGGGTTAAACTAATAAGGTACACACCCTCAAAACCCCCTCTCTTTGCTTGTCACTGTGCACACACCCCACGTCTTGACTATGTCGATTATTATTGTGCACAGTGATCAGCCTACCATCAAAGGTATCTCATTCATAAATACCTGAGAGAGGGCACATAGATCCTACATAAAATATACCAGCCACCGGCTGGACATATCTGTCTTTTAGACAGAATAGTATGATTATGATTTTCCATATTTAATATTTAATATTTATTTTCAACTTTGCATGGTTATGATTTCTCATATTTAATGCTTTCACATTAAATATGGGTAATCATAACCATACAAAGATGGAAATAAATATAACCGTTGGATCAACATAATCAATCTAACAATGAAATTGATTTGTAGTAACACTAATTGGTTGTTACAATATCCTATCCCTATAGTTTATGGAAAACACTGCCCATTTATTAATTTATTAGTGGAAGACTTTACTTGTGTTTATAACTCAAATGTCTTCAGCTTATCACTTCCATTGACCTTTGTGATTCTAAATGGATGATTTCATGTTAAAATTTCATATGAAAGGTAATGTGGATTTTTTGTTTCTATTTCACTCTTTATTAATATTGACAATTTATAATTGGATTCCATCTATTTAATGCACGAGGAGAAAGATAGATACAAACATTTTACATGAAGAGGACATGATGCTATGTAAAATTTTAACATAAGAGGATATAAGAAAATCACAATAATTGATTCATAATCTAATGAAAAGTTCTTAAAAAGGGAAAGAAGAAATTATCACTTTTATTTATAATTTGTTAATGTGTGAATAAATGATTAAAATCTTCCATACAATCATTTAAA